ACTGCCTCCTGTTTCAGAGGTCCACAATGAAACGGATCATGTTGGTTTTTACGTGATGTACCTGAAGGTGGCGCTTTGTGTTTCTGTTTCAGATCCGAGAAGCTGTAGAAGAGGAGCTGCTGATGTGTCACACGTGAGTCAAACATGTCTGAAACCCTACGGTTATCTATCATTCTCTAATGTTTTGGCTTCTTCTCTACTCTATTGTTCCAAACCGTTATCAAATGTTCTATATTCTTCTCTAATGTGTTGTTTACCATTCTCATTTACGTCTGACGAGTGCGTTACTATTCCTTTTCTCTATTGTTCTCCACTAGGAAGCAGTATGTTGATGTGATGAGATCCACTCAGACGATGACAGAAAGTGAACTTCAGACTCTGTCTGAGAGATACGACTCTGTGTACATTCATCCTGTAAGAACACACACACTATTTACTCTCCGTTTACATTTCATTCAGTTGACTTACCGACTACTCGTGTGTGTGTGTGTGTCAGGAGTCGTTCGGGGTGTGTGTGTCTGCGGTGGGTTCTGTCCTCCAGCTCGTCGATATGGTCATGAAGTCTGAGCTCAGGAACGGATTTGCTGTCATCAGGTAACAACAACAACAACAACAACGGAGCTGCTTGTGGTGCATTCAGGTGCTCATTCTTAGCCAGGAACATATTTAGTTAACAATCCTCCTTTGTGTCTGTCAGACCGCCAGGTCATCACGCTCAGGCTAACGAGGCCAACGGCTTCTGTCTTTTCAACAATGTGGCAATTGCAGCTCGATACGCTCAGAGCAGACACGCCGTGCGCAGGTAAGTGTGTGTGTGTCACTTCCTGTCAGCGTTGCTTAGTGGGAAGCCAATGAGGGATTGTGTAGTTTCTTCGGTGAGGTGTTTGTGATTACTCAGCTGCTCTTATTTTGAAGGGCAGATGTTCATACCAGGCGTTTTGTTGTTTTTATAAAGCTCTGAACTTCACTGGAATGTTTCTTTTTTTCAAAGTAAAGTAAGTAAGTGTGTGTGTGTGTGTGTGTGTGTGTGTGTCACAGGGTGCTGATAGTGGACTGGGATGTTCATCATGGTCAGGGAATCCAGTACCAGTTCCAGGAGGACCCTAGGTAAACTCCTGACGCTCATTGAAGTAACAGAAACATCAAATATGAAATCCATAAAGTTAACACTTTCTGTGTGTGTGTGTGTGTGTGTGTGTGTGTGTGTGTCAGTGTCCTGTACTTCAGTGTCCACAGGTACGAGCAGGGATCTTTCTGGCCCCACCTGTCAGAGTCTGACTGTCAGTTTGTTGGCAGCGGACGAGCTCAAGGAAAAAACATCAACCTGCCCTGGAACAAAGTGACTATTAAACCTTAAATGATCATAACCCTAATCTAGTATAATATTAAACTATTACAACATGTATTAACAATTATAGCTAAGGCTGTCAATAGATTAAAAAAAATAATAATAATAATTAATCGCATATTTTGAAATTTGTTAATCTCGATTAATGGCGGTTAATGAATGTTGTTGTTGTTGTTACAATGTCGCGTTTAATGAATGTTTTTCTTCTAAAGACTAAATCTTAAGTAATGAGTAATCACTTTAGAAAGTGTTGATTTAATTTAACCCTGTTTAAATTAAATCAACCCTGTTTAATTTGTAATGATATTTTAAGCACAAAACTCCACACACTTGATCATCTTGGAGGCGAATTCCAGCTGGTGGAACATGTTGAACTAGCGACTCTTCCAACTAGCTTAGCCTAGCAGCTAGTTTAGCATAGCGGTGCTTTAAGTGGTGCCACTTACCCCCTTCTGTTTGACACGTAGAGGAATTCCTCTCTTTTCCTGTATGTCGAGTTTGTTTTACTTCCAATGCAAAAAGCTCTCTCCATCTTGATGTAACTAACTGCAACAAGCGGCCATTTCGTTTACAAGCGTTA